CTCTCCCTTCCACCCCCTCTCAAAATGAAATCTTTAAAAAGAGCCACTCCCCAAAATCACTAGTCAAAGATAACCACTCTTATGTTTTTCAGTCCATGTGCATATCGATGTATATCTCCTAATGTGTATTTGAATGAAAACAGGATCATTGCATCCATATAAATTATTCTGAAGTTTGCTTTCTTCAGAGGACAAATGTCTTGTGAATGTCTTCGCTCTGCATCCTGTGTCATGGCTCTATCCCGTCATGCGCAGATGAACCAGCCTTTTCTAACTCTTAGCTCATTCCCTACTCTTAGCTCTTCCATTTTCTTCCTGATGATATACAGCGCTGTGGTGAATGGCTTTGTAAATACAGCCTTTTATCCTTTGCCCAATTATTTCCTTAGGATTCATTGCTAGAAGAGGAATCATCAGGTCGCTGCATATTCCTTTTTTTGGAATCCCTCTTCTTTCTGGAAAGGTTCTAATTTACAGCCTTACCAGGGCTATGTGTGAGTCATTTCCCCTCCAAACCAGCAGACGTTTTACTTTTAGACTCTGCCTATTTCACAGCGGGGAGGGGGGTGGGGTGGAGGGAGGGAGAAGAGGCATGTCATTATTTTACTTTGCATATCTTCATTAGTCTGAAAGTGTTTTTTATGGTTTATTGTATTTCTTCTTTCTTTAGCTTCTCTATTTGAGTGTTTTGCACAACATTTTAAAAATTGAGATATTGGTCTTTTCTTAATACATAGAAGTGCTTTCTATATTAAGGAAGTCAACTTATGGCTATCACATGTCCTAAGTAGTCATTTGCTTCTTACTCTGTGTACCATTGGCATTTCTGTTCGTCGTGTAGGAATTTATTTTCTATAGTAAAATCCTTTACTCTTTTCTCTAATTGTTTCCCTCTGAAAATTATATATATTTTACCCAGATTTTATCCTAAGTACTATACTTTTATGATTCCTTTACACTTAAATATTTAAGCCATCTGAAAATTATTTGGTCTTCAGGTAAGAGGTCTGGTTTTTTTTTTAAATGCTTCATTCATTGTTCTAGCATAATGTGTTGAATAAGATTCTACTTTCTCATTGAATCAAAGTTCACATTTGTCATTTACTAATTTCTCAGATGTTCTTGGGTTTGTTTTGGCCAAATCATTCTGATTTGTTGATCTATTTGCCTACTTTGGAACCATTTCATATGGAAGCTCTATACTACATTTTAGTACCTAGGGAGCAAATCCTCTCCTTGTTCCCCACTTGTCCTTTATATTTTACAGAATTAGTTACTTGAATGATAAGTAAATTCATGTGGCTCAGGCAGGCTCTGCGGGAGAGGCAAGCAGGAGCCCAGGGCCCTGAGCGCAAGGAGACCCTCAGTCCTGTGGGCCAGCGCAGTGAGGCCCTCACAGTTTGTACTCTGAGTGCCTCTCTCCCCGGGCTCCCATTTGCAATTTAGGGTTCAAAGAGAAAAGCAATATGAAACTTCTTGGCAAGGTAAGGCCAGTTTTTTGACCTTGACTTAGTGGACACTGGGGAGCCACTGAAGAATTATGAGCAAGAAGGAAGATGACCAGAATGTGCTTTGGGAGGGCAGAGCAAAGAGTGGGCTGGTGAGGGCTTTTCTAACGGACCAGGCTGGGGCTATGGGGGCGGGAACAGGAACCGAAAGGGGGTTATCTTGGTGCTAGTATCAGGTAAGGACTTGGGTTCTGGAATCAGATCCTCCGAGTTCAAATCCCGACTTTTCCACTTACTAGTTACGATCCTGGGCAAGCTATTGAGCCTCACCGAGTCTCAGCTTCTTCATTTGTAAAATGGGCATCACAGCAGGGCCCGCCTACCCCCCCAGGACGTGGTGGAGCTTCAGCGAGGCCACCGATGTGAAGGGTTGAGAACAGTGCCTGGTGCAACAGTAAGCGCTCAGGGCACATTAGCCCTGAGGACCGATGCAGAGGCTAAGGGAGCACAGGATCCTCGCGTCTCCAGAGTTAAGCAAGCGAGGGAGCAGTGCAGATAGGAAGTGCCTGGGGGATCTTTTAAACCTCCACAAACCAAAGCCACACCCTAGGCCGACTAAATCTGTCTCTGAAGTGGGGTCTGGCCATCATTGTTTTCTGGAAGTTTCCCCGGAGCTTCCAGTATGCAGCTGAGCTCAGGAATCATTATTAATCTAGAACCTTGTGTGCCCGCGGCCTGAGCCGTGAGGACTGCCTGGTAGACAAGACACAGGCAGGCTACCATCTTGCAGCAGGAGGTGAAGCCAGATGGCGTGGAGGTGGAAGAGTGTGCGACCTCGGGCCCCAGCGGGGGACCTCTAGGGCTCCTGGGAGCCTTGAGGGCCTGGCGGTCACTGGCACCCCCAGACAAGGCTGGGATGGAGGCCGCCGCCCGCAGCCCGCACTCTTGGGCGACTGCGGAGCAGGAGGCTGGAGCAGCGGCTCTGAGCTGGGCTTGGGCGCCAGGGGGAGCTCGTGGGGACGGCCACGGCTCCATCCCCGCAGCTGGTTCAAACTGGTTTGGGCAGGGTGCGGCCTAGGCAGGCTGCATTCCGGGTCCCGGGTTTGCTGCCTGGTCTACGGTCTCCCCAAGATCTGGGGACACAGGGCAGGGCGCTGAGGCATGGGCCAATACGCTGAGAGGCGGGGAGATTTTTAAAAATTCATTCTTCTTCTTTTAAAATCATTCATTTGGCCTCCCACGGGGGTCCCTGGCTAACGGCCGCAGCAAGAGGGAGCCCCCCAGTTAGGGGTTTGACTCCGACTTTGCTGTGCATGGGACTGAGCTGCAGAGCTTTTAAAATGCAGGTGCCCAGCTCCCCAGAGATGCTGACGCAGAAAGTTGGAGCAGGGCTCCGGGCATCTGTATTTTTAGCAAACTGATTCTGAGGTAGCTGGGAGGGGGAGAGGAGAGACTAGAAACAATGACTGTTGGCCAGCCAACGTGGCCCAGAGTGTGAATCACCGAGATGCTTGGGAAGAGCCCACATCGCTTCCCCAGACACCCCATCTCCAGGGACAGGGGGTCTGGGCAGTCCGCACTTCCGGCTCATCCCAGGCTTTTTGTTTTGTTTTTAATGAGTCATTTTGGGCACTTAAAAAGTTTAAACAGTATAACCAGTATCAGCAGATGAAATAAAACATTGCAATTACAACTGAATACCTTTTCACACCCTTCCCCAATTTCCTCTGCCCCTCCCCTGCCCCACCCCAAGTACCCACTTGCCTAACTGTGGCACACCATTCTCAGGGACAGCTTTATACCCTCACTCCATATGTCTGTATCCATAAACAATATATAGTGTTCTTGCGCATGTTTTTAAAACTTTATGTTAATGGCAGAGTGCCCTACGGAGCCTTCTGTGACTTGCCTCCCCCCGCCCCGCGCCCCCTACAGCGTTGTCTTTGAGATTCATGCATCAGGGGAAGTTGTGCAGCGCTCAGGATTTTCGGGCTGATCTGAGGTCACTTCTGAGCTTTTCTGAGTGAGGGCCCTGGCCAGCCTGCAGGGCTGAGGGTCCGAGCTCCACTCTCGGGCGTGTGTGACGTGTGTGAGGCATGGAAGGGCTCAGCGTCAGGAAGGTCAGGGCGGTAGTGAACCGCCAAGTGCCGGTTCAGGGAGTTCCTATCAAATCCTCTTCCCAAGCACCTGAGGCCCAAGTCTTTGCCAAGAATTTTCTGGAAAATGACTCTGGCCTGAAGGCCTGAGTGTTTGGGCGGGGATGTGGAGAAATCAGCAGTGGGCAGATGTGGAAGTGGAAATTGTGCAGAGAGGGATTACCCAGAAGGCCGACCAAGCATGTGCCCACGCCCCCTACCTGGGCTCCTGAGATAAAATACAAATTCAGATTTAATTTGAGGGGGATGAGGGTCCGATATTTCTTAAAAATTTATTTGCAACCCTAAGCCCAGACCAATTTTTAAAAACGAATTTACTATTTTTTTTAAAGTCATCATAGCAAAAATGAGCACTCTAGTCCTTCCCGTACCTCTTTACCGTGTTTAGTGCTTTCTTCATGAGCAATGCATTGGCGGGGGGGTTCACTCCACCGTCTGCATCCTCTAAAGGGTTTAGAGAAGCCTCCTATGGGGCGCTAGGGGAGTCACATTTCCTGTGCTTAAGAACTCTCTGGGGAGTTTATTTCGAAAGCTGCCCCTGCAAGGAAGAGGGCCGCCACACCCACATTCCCGAATTTCCAGGACTCCCCGCCTGGCGCCGACCGGAGGCCGGAGGGGAGAGGGGCCTGGGGGCGGGGACGGCGGTCTTTAAACGAAAGGATCCTTTAGGAGAGCGGCTCCCTATCCTGGATGCGGGATGGATCACCCTCGGAGCTTTCAAAACAACCGTGCCCAAGCCCCGCCCCGCAGGATTCCGGCTGTCCCAGGCTTGGAGGAGGCCTGGCCTCCCGACTTCTAAGAGCTCCCCAGCGCTTTGCAAAGTGTTACAGACGCTGGGAACCATTGTTCCTCCAGATTCCAATGAAAAGGGGACATTTTACACTGCCGAAATTCAGACGTTGGGTGCGGCAAAAGTAACGCCTGCTTGAGTGTGGTTGGTAGGGTAATAATATGGATGTAATAATTTATAGTTTTAACTCAAACGTTTCACTTAAAATTTCATAGGGCGTGCTTGAGTGTGATATTGTGTTACAGAATTGCACGCTTATGATTTTGTAATAAAAGACTAAAAGACTGTGCAATAAAAGAGGCGTTATTTGTGCCGGACCCTGTACGTTGAAATCACCTTGTGAACTTCAAAAATACCGACGCCCTAGGTTCCCACCCGAGACCGTGTGTGGCCCGAATTTTTGGAAGTGTTTGTAAGAGCCCCAGGATATTGTAATCCGCGGGCCAGTTTGAGAATCTCTTGTTTACCAGGTGGTGCGAGGGCCGGGCTCAGTGAGCAACGCACGCCACTGGGTGGCGCTGCCCACTCGGTTCGGCGCTCTGGGAGGCGTGGGCCGCAGCCTCCGCCGGCACACCTGACCCGCCTCCGCCAGGCGGGCCGCGGGGCATGCAGGCGACCGGGGGCGGGGCTCCGAGGCCGGGGCAAGGTGACAGGCTCCCTGGCAGCCTCCGCCAGCTGGACCCCGCCACGCTCCTGATGCTGCTCTTGGACGCCGACAGGCCCGAGCCCGTGCGCAGCGGGGCGCGCGAGCTCGCGCTCTTCCTGACCCCCGAGCCTGGGGCTGAGGTAGAGGACGAGGGGAGGCGGGATGGATGTGCGGGAGGCGTGTCTCGGCGTTGGGGGGTCCCGGGCCCGCGCGCCCTGGGGGGGAAGCGGATGGGTGCGGAACCCCAGCGCGCTAGTACCCCGACGCGAACCCTATGCTTCCCTCGCATCCTCTCGCATCCGGCGGGAGGACTCCGGACCGGGAGTAGGGGCGCGAGGGTCCCCTTCTTCGCGGAGCGGTGACTCTTTGGCGCTACCTATGTGTGCGCGGCAGGTCGCGTCGGCTTCCCCTTCCAACGGACACCGCCCCCGGGGACCCAGATCGGGCTCCCATCCCCACCTAGGGCCCTCTAGCTTCGGCCAGGAGCTGCTGCCCTTTGCCCGGCTGGGCCCTGGCGGAGGCCGACCCCCTGCAGGGGCACTGGGCCGCTCCGCCCGGAGCTGTTTGCCAGGCGCCGGGGAGGAGGCGGACGGGCTGCGTCTGTGCGGGGACGCACCCGGCCTCGGTCCCGTCTGTTGCTAGGAGGGAAAATACCTCGTCTCTGCCTGCACTTACTATTTTAAACGCGCAGAATAAAAAGTAGATCTAAAACTAGACCCTTCTTCCAGCGGAAGCCAATCTGTTGACAGTGCCGTGAAAGAGTTACTTAACCGAGTCCGCAAGGAGTTATTTAGGTAGGACTAGAAATTCAACTCATCCTTTTTTACATCTAAAAAGCAGTGCAAAAGTACATAAAATAAAGTGAATGCCCACTCCCTTTGGTCTCCCCTGCAGACCCTAGTTCCCTGAGATAACCGTCAGTAAGAGTTTGGTATACAACATTGCAAACATTTTAAAAATACATTTACAAATGTGGGCATGCGTATAAATAATGATATATATTCGTTTTCATAAAACCCCACTCGATACTGTAATACTGTTCTACAACTTGCTTTACTCAAAACAGCACGGACAAATGGGGAGTGACCGCTAATGATAAGGTACCAAGAGCTGCTTTTCAGGGTGATAAAAATGGTCTGTATTAGTGGGGATGGTTACACAATTTTGCGAATATACCAAAACCCACTGAATTGCACACTTTTAAAAGGGTGAATTTTATGGTATGTGAATGACATCTCAATTTTTTAGAATAGCATGTCCAATGGAAATCGATCCTGAGCCACAAATGTGAACCATCCATATAATTTTAGATATTCTAAGAGCCACATAAAAAAAGGAAAAAGAAACAGGTGCAATTACATTTAATTATGTAAAATAACAACGTATCCAGGAGATCATTTCAACATGTCATTGGTGTAAAAAAAAAAAAAAAGGTCAATGAGATTTTTACATTCTTTTCATTGCACTAAGTTTTTGAAATCAGGTTTTTAATATTGAACTTACAACACATCTCAGCGGGGACCAGCCACATTGTAAGCGATTGATAATCACCTGAGGCTGGCGGCTTCCCTAGGAGAGTGTGGGTCTGTATCATTCTTTGGCTCCCTAGTATCCCACGATGAAATAACAATTACTCCTATTTCCTGGGCACATACTGTGTGCAGTGTCATGCGTCATGGGTCTGCCTACTGGCAGCGACCCAGGGGCTAGGAGGTGGTCCTGTCGATCAGGGAATAAGAGACATCCTATGGGTGTACTGTGACTTCTGGCTCATGCCCCCAGGGATGGGCATTTAGGTTGCCTACAGATTTTTACTGGTTTAAGTAGAGACTTTTTTGTCTCTTTCTCCCTTGCTCTCAACAGCACGATGTCCCTGTGCCCAGTGGCTAAACCTGAGCATCATTTGGTCTCTATTAGGAACAGCCTTTGAGAGGAACTGCGTGCATTAACTTCATTTTCTCACCCAGGGCTCCCTTTAATGCAGAGGCGGGCCAGCTCACGCTCATTTGTAAGGGCCCTAATGAAGAGCCCGGCTCCCGGTAGCTCTGCGCAGCAATAAACTCACTTAGAGCGCTTGCTGAAGTTTATTTACCGAAAGCAGCAGAAACTATCAGAGTCATCATCTGCAGCCTCTACTTAAAGCTGAATTCAGGAGCAGGTCGCTGAGCTGAGGCTGTTTGCAGATGGGCAAAGGAGTGGGACAAGGGAAGTCTGGTTTGGGAACAGGTATGGGCAGCAGGTCCCCCCCACTAAGTGGCCTTTCTCCTGGACCACTTTCAGCTTCTAAATGGAGCTGTAGGCGGTCTCAGACCAGCCCACTCCAGTCCTCTGGGTGTCCTGCGGTTCCAGGCGAAGTAGACCCGCCTCACTGACCACCTAGATGAACCCCTGTGCTGTGGCAGGCGCCAGGGATACCACAGCAGTGAAACGCCTGAGGGTCCTGCTCTCGCGGGACAGTAAACATGGAACACACGGAACCTCTACATGTGACAAATGCCATGGAGAATGTGACATGGAGTATGTGATAGTGGATATCCGTGTGTTAAGGGGCGGGGACGGCCTCTCAGAGAAAGCCAAGACCTAGTAGTGACTATAGAGGAAGATACAGGGAAGAACAGAGATCTAGGACCCAGCAGGGTGAGTTGCAGAGGGACCCCCACCTTGTCTGGGTGAGGTCAGGGAGGGCTTCCCTGAGGAAGTGTCATTTCAGGCTGAGCCCTGAAGCATGAATAGGAGTTGGCTGAGAGGGAGAAGCAAAATATTCCAGGCGGAGGGACTAGAACTTGCAGAGGCCCTGGGTGGGACGAAGCAAGTGTTCCTTGGGACAGAAGGGAGCAGAGGGAGATGTGGCTACCGAGGGGGGCAGAAGCCGGGCCCAGGACTCTGTTCCGTCTCACTGGACAGGATGCAGGAGCTCATGAGGCACAGCGGCAGGGCTTGAGGCTGACTGGCAGTGAGCATTCTACTCTTCCTGGTGCCCTGGGCGTTTTCTGTCCAACCAGCTTTTTTGTGTTTTATTTTCTCTTTTTCTGGTTTGAACTTCCTCTTTTGGGGGAAATTTCAGGGGGGAGGGTCTCCGGAAAGCTGCTTCAAGGTGGCAGGGAGAGACGTTCACCTCTTGGATGCTCTGTGACTTACAACAGAGGGGAGCTCAGGGACCCCCCCATACCCCACCAACCGGCTGAGCACCGATGCCCCCACCCACGGGTGAATTTCTGAGCAGGCTCTTTCAGAATTCTGCTTGCTTCCTGTGCTAGGACACAGGACAGGCACGGCCCCCAGATGAGGTGGACGGCTTAGGTGGAAGGCGGTGAAGGAAGCCAGCACTTTCTCATCCCCTGGGGTCTCTGCTGGAGTGAGCGGAGGATGATGGCAGAGGACGCACCTGGGACCTTGAACCACAGGGGGATTGGATCAGGGATTGCAAACTGGTGGCTCAGAGGCTGAATCCAGCACTTGCGTGTGATTGGTTCAATCCAGAGAGGGTTTTTTTCAAAGGGGAATTTTCATTTAGAAAAAAACAAAACAAAACCCTGAGCTTCTTGTGTATTTAATATAATGAACAGTCTGGTAATCCTAGGTGCATGTTTCCTCGCTGCAGCCCTGTGTTTGCCACAGTCTCCACCTTTCCCTATTGTCTCCCCCATACTGAAGCTGGTGCCCGTCATTCTTTGCCCTTGTGCTTGAACTTTTGATTTTTCTGTAGTCATAAGAGGAAAGAGAACTATTTTACCAAATCATGTGCCTGGACTAAAGTAGAAAGACATAAATTAACCAAAGATGCCTTTGAGTTTTAAGAAAAGTGTAGAAGAGGCCGTTTCTTTGTAGAAGCAAAGAATATTCTATTGACTCCAACCTGCAAACACCATGTGCCTATGGGAACCCCCTCTCCCCCGACATGTTCTGTCCCTGTGACTTGCTGATCCCCTTTGGGCATTCGAACTTGAGATGTTCAGGTTAGAAGCCTGTGGGTAGAGCCGCGCACAGTCCACTCTGTCTCAAGCTGTGGTTCTGGATTAATTTGTTCCTCGGATCTTTAGGGCAGACCTGCTGTGTGCTGGGCGCTGCGCTGGGCACGGGGCGAGGCGGGTGAGACAGCGGTGGCACCCGCCCTCGGATGAGCAGACTCATAATGGCTGAAGGAACTAAGGGCAATAAATGCCAGGACGGAGGCAGCTGAGGGGCCAGGATGGAGACACCGGGAGGACTGGAAGGAACCGCAGGGCAAAGGTCTGGCGGCGTGTGCATCGCCCGCAGCGGGGAGCATGAGGAGGTGCCGAGTGGGTGATGGCGGGGGTCGGGGGGCGGTGCCAGGGCCAAGCCAGGGGCCGTGGGCGTGGAGACTGGATGCGATTCTGGGGTCCCGGGTAGAGGGCCTGGTCAGGTGGGGCCAAGCGGTGGGAGGACGGGAGCCCTGGAGCCGCACGGCCTGGGTTCAGATCTCGCCTCTGTACTCGGTGCGCCTCGGCGCCTTGTCTCGTCTGGTGTGGTAGTTGTAGGCTGGATGAGATTATCCACGGCAAACGCTTGGAATGCGGTCTGGCCCACAGTAAGCAGCTTGGAAACGTGAGCGACTATTTATGTGCCCATCCTACAGATGTGTGCTGAGCAGGTGCAGACACGGCGCCAGGCGTGTGAGGGGCACCTTCGTCCTTAGGGTTCCCAGTCAGCGCAGGTGAGAAGGTGCGGGTGACTGCCGCACGCTAACTGCTCTATACGGTGTTTGGCAGTGGGTGATGTCAGCCCTTCCCTTGTGCTCAAAGATCACAAATTTTCACTCACCAGCACGCCCCCTGTCAGCCTGGAAGTCCAGCGTTAACTTTCTGACCTATATATCCGAGGCCAACCATAGATTCCAGTGTTTGCTTTGCAGAACACAGCTGCCAAACACATGGTCCGAATGAGCCACTGGCTGTTGTAAGCTGTCTCGGGACCTGCAAGCGTGGCAGGACTTTGGCCTGTGGGTTTTTTAAAAAAGTCAACAGGAGTCATTCTGCTTTTGAAATTAAGTTTTGTTTTAAAAATTAAAAAAAAAAAAAAATGTATGCGGATGCCACACAATCCCAAGGCCCTAGTGGCCAGACAGCAGTGAGCAAGACCCTCCTAGTCGGGGGCTGCAGCGACCCCCCTCCCCGCCCCG